GGCACAAACAAAGCATCCATGTGTAATCATTTCCTTTGTCTCCAGTGCCGTGGTTTGGAATTGTAACTCTCAGTTTGCTATTCAGTTGATTGCAGATTTCTTTTGCACTGGAATAAAATTGTTGAAAAATGTGGCCAGCCCAGCCAAAGGTGGCAAGAAAAGTTGCAGGAAGGGCTAAAATTAAAGAGAGCTACCCCTGCTCTCAGCAGTCACTAATTTGCCTCCCATTACCAACAATCACCAACTAATTCTTCTCTCCCTGCGTCACCATACTTTAATGCCTCAAACACTTGAGGGGATTACATCTGTGTGAAACTGCCCTTTTACACTGATCCAGTAAAGACCATATGTGGGAGTTTTAACTTGTTCTAAACCTCCTTTTCAAATCCTGCTGATGATGTAGTTTTAATGCAAGAAAAAAGCGGGGAATTCTTTGTGTAATTAATGTGTCTAACTTAAACAGTCATAGCATCATATTAACTTCAGATAAGCTTTTTAGTATAATTTCCATTTAAGTATTTCCATACTGCCTTTGTACAGTATCTACATTGTTAGAAAGTGACGACAAAATCCAGAACAGACCTTCGCTGCAAAATTATTTCCACAGCTAGGTTTAGCCAAAGTTAACCTGAGGCTTCAAAATAACCTGAAAGGAGTCATTATCTTTGTTCTGGCACTCGTGTAAATTTACTGCAGGTATTTTATCCTCTTTTTTCACAGAAAGAACATTTTCCCTCATGTTGTACAGTTTTTAGTGGATGAAAAACAACTCTGTGCTACACGTTTTAGGCTGGAGGCAGCCCGGTGATGCAGAAGCCTCATAGACAGAATGGTGGCAATGTGTGGTGACCAATCAGTTTCCCACCCAAGTCTGTAATCACAAGCTCTGGGTAGTGGATGACAATATTTAATTTCAGCTACAAGTAATTTTTCTTATGCAGGATGCCTGGGCTTTCCCAGGGACAGGATGAAGAGTTCAGATATCCATAGTGAGCTATGAACTGCTCTTGAACCACTGCTAATAGGGGTTTTCCTGTTACAGGAACCTACTGAAATGTGTCAAGCTGAGTAACATTCATCCTATGTTCTGCATGTGTTCCCACTGCCCTCACAGTCTCCCTTGATTTATTATATGTTTATGTCTTCACACCTCAAGCATTAGCATTACAAGTAGGGTGTGTAAACACACTCGCTGGCTTAGAGGTAAAACCTCAGTGAGTGGGCTATGGGCAAAGCTATGGAGATGTCACATTTCTTCAGGTCTGTGTTATGTTATTCAATGGCTATTTAATAAACTGCTCATACAGTCTCCATTACTGGCTGGTTGTTGCACTATGGAATGATCCTTCACCTTTGTTTTCCCTCTGCCATATATGTGAGAGGAGAGCAGCCCCTCCCTCCTCTAAACAGAGACCGACAGAGAGAAAATACAGTGGAAAAACAAAGCAGCATCGTCCATGTCAACCCGGCAGGTTATGCAAGGCGAAGTACGGAGAATACCACTTGTTAGGTTCTGATAGTGGAGACGCAGCTTATTTCAATTTGAATTTGAATTTGGTTAGATCTGGGCACCCCTTGGCACCTTTGGTAGAAGTTTTATGTTCCAATAGGAACAGACACCAAGGCAGACACAGACTCACTGGGAGAATTATATATTGCATTCAGCCTTAGTAGCAGCTGTTGGATGCAGTTGACAACAAGGACTCCTATTACAAAAAAAAAAAAGTAGCCTGCTGCCCCCATGACCCGGAGTGATGGCAAGTGGATGGATGGGTGTGTTGATCATCACTGCTTCTGCTACTGATGTGAGTCCGGTAACTTTCCAGTGGGAGGGGGTTCCGTAGGTGTATTATGAATTTCAACACTGAGTCTTTGCATAACTTTGAAGAAAGCAGTTTCGATGATATGAAGGGTTAAAACTACAAAGGCTGTCATTTTCAAATGGGATTCACACAAAGCAGAGGTGTTCTAATGATTAACCTGCTTTGTGGGCTCGAGTGTTTAGTGTTAAATTTCATGTCACGATTAAAGAATGCTGCTGACAGCTATGAATAATTCCTGGTATTTGTTTCACATCACTGCAAAAGAGCATCAAACACTCCAGTTTCTCAATATCATGTTTCTGGAGATACACTAAACCAAGCACATGTTTGACCTCAGGAAATAATAGCCTTTGCTTTGGGACCAGGAATTAATATCTTGAGAACTGCTAACATCTGAACATGTGAAAGGTTGAAAGGTTAAGCAGTTTGTACATTCAGCATCTCCCTAAGTGAGGTGTGTGCACCTCTAGTGCGCTTAAGGGTATCCTGTGGAGTATTTGTATGCCAGTAGCATTAAAGAGCCAAGACCCTTTAACTGTGTCTTCTTCTACTGCCAGTTATGTACTCCATTCCAGAACTGACAAAACTATTTATGTAGACGTACTGCACATAAATATTCACTCAGTAGTTTGCTTATATCACTGACCAATGCGTGGTAGAGAGAAAGTCTCTGATCCTGTGACCAGCAGCAATTCATTCATTCATTCATTCATTTTCTACCCCTTAGTCCCTGAAAAGGGTCGCGGGGGGCGGAGCCAATCCTGGCCGGCAATCGGGCGAAGGCGGGGTACACCCTGGACAGGTCGCCAATCCATCGCAGGGCACCAGCAGCAATTTTATAGCATAATTTACTTGTAGCTGCATCCAGTGTGCAAAATCAATGGAAGTCTCAAATGTAACTTTATAAACATTTCATTGTTTTTAAAATAATATAATAACATTATACTGTAATCACTGTGTTTGTGGTGAAACTGACAATTTATGACAATTTCACCAAAAACTGAAACATTTTGAGCTTCATAAACACAGATGCTAAGGTGGAAGTGTTGCATAGAATTGCATACAATTGTACAGGCATACCTAATAAAGTGGCCAGTGAGTGTATGGTGCAATGACAGAGTGGCATTGTTTGTATTTCCTTCATTTTAATCTATGAGCTGAAGACTTATAACTCTAAGTATTTAGTTCAAAATTCTAGCCACTATGTGTTTTTATGTTTGTAATGAATGAACGTTACTGGGGTAAATGTGATGGCTTTGAGTGTTGTCCCCACAAGCCTGTGTTTGTATGTCCCACAGGCAGTAAAATAATAAGTGCATTTACATGTTCGTTTTACGTTTGTAGGCCCTTTGTGATTATTGGCGTTGGTGCAGGAGTCCGTTGTTATACGGTGTTTCCTCGGTGTCTGTTACTCCACTCAGGGTCTCAGATTTGTCATGCAGGGATCAAGTTGGTACTTCAGGTAATATCACCCCTTATTTATGCTCAAGCTGTGCACGTGCTTCGCTGTATGTAGTAAAGTTTATTGTTTTTTTCATTTAATTTTTGATTGTTAATTTACATGATGTCGTGCATTTTTATAGGCAAAATAATTGTAGATGCCTGTCTTCATGTATTTATTTAGTGTTTCTACCTATTTGGTTATTTTGCATGTAGCCATTTATGATCATTTTTACCTGTTTTCCACCTCATCATGGTTGTTTTGCACATAGTTTTACTTGTTTTGGTGTCTCATTGTTAGCATTTTACATCTCATTGTACATGCTATGTCTCTTTTGGTAGTCATTTTGTAGTCTTTATGGTCTTTTTAGTTATTTTATGTCTCATTATAGTTGTTTATTTCTCATTTTCAGTTTTTTTTTGTAGTTATTTGATTGACTTTCCAACAGAAAGGTTGACAATCCCTTTTATGATTCACAGGTCTGGGCACACCACTGACCCATGGCACAAATAGATTACTGAAATCAGTCTTTAGGACACAGGCACAGGGTGACCCAAGTATTTAGGAAGTAGCAAAATGGGGATGTAGGCTTTAACAGTCACTTAGTGTGTATTGACAGAGCAGAACCATTCCTGGTTGCTGTATTCTATACAGTGTGACATGCCATCATGTTATTCACCAAGCCGCCACTAGGGACACTACTGCGCCAAAGGCTTATCCTATATACTTCCTGTTTATACTGTTTTTCCTGTTGTACTCCTGATCACAGTAAACTATGGCTGATTAACCTGAGCTCTATCTTAGCATGGTTACAGGCCATAACACATAATTACTTATATATATATATAGGCCTGTATAGGCCTGGGAACTTGAGGGTCCTGCTCAGTATCTTAGCTGTTATATATATATACACATCAAGAAGCTTGAGAAATACCAAGGGCTGAAAGAAGAGCTAGAAAAGATGTGGAAGGTGAAGGCACAAGTGGTCCCCCGTGGAAATAGGAGTACGTCTAAGAACATTTAGTTTTTGTGTTTTGATTTCGTTTTACTGTTTTATAAAACATCTTTTTCTGTTTATGGTTGTATTTTGTTGTTTTTGTGAAATGGCTTATTGTGTTTTGCTTGTTTCTTGTTTTGTGAAGCATCATCACCTGTTTTGGTTGTGTTTTGTTGTTTTAGGAAACATCTTTTTCTGTTGTAGATGTATTTTCGAATTTATTTCACCCTACACAATGTTGTTGACAAGCCAATATTGTTTTGTATGTTTTGTAAGTTTAATAACATGTAAGTTTAATATGTTTTCCATACATGATCCTACATGAAGCACAGGTCTTGTTAAAGCATCTTCACCTGTTTAGGGTTATGGTTAACCATCTATTCAGGGATGAACCTTTGTAGCTATTCTATAATGAATTCACTGATTTTGCAGAATCTAAAACAATATTGTGGCCACAATATTCCAAGCATTGCTATGAAGTACAACCCACTATAGGTTCCTACATTAATCATCAAATTATTAAATTGCTCTATAAAGACAAGTAGAAAAGTAGCTGACCATCACCATTCAGAGGTGTAGTGTAGG